CATCGCAGATCTAATGCATCACTGTCAATTCTAACAACTCTGTCATTTAGCTTTATAGACTTTTCCTATGCTTTAATAAGTAAATGGATCTTGCCATTTACTTATTAATTAAGGATTAGAGCATTTTCAATTTTTTCTGACAGTGAGAACAATCAACCAATGGAACAGTTTGCCTTTGGAAGTTGTGGGAGTTTTATCACTGGAGGCTTTTAAGAAGAGTTTGGACTGCCTCCCCTGCTTGGATGGGTTGTTGGACTAGACGACCTACAAGGTCCCTTCCAACCCTATTAATCTGTTAAATCTGTTACGTACTCTGATGTCAAAACATAAGATTAATCCACCCATGATGTACAGAGCAGGCATGTCATGTCATATATTGTGCAAAGATGAAAAATAAATGTGTAACTTGAACCAGTTTAACTTACTTTTTCATCCACTCCATATATGTTAGAGATGATGGATAAGTAAATTATAACTATGAATGAAAATCTTTATTACTTGCAGAGCAGCATATAAAACATACAAATAGTAAGAAGCAGATTTTTTGCAAGTAGAAAATCTGTATTATCTCTATCAGCTAATAAATATTCAATATAAAATTCATCTAGGTAGCCTGAAAGACTTTTAAATAAAGACTGGATTATAGTTATTGTAGGAATGCAATAGTGGCAGAGGATTGGACTGCCCAGACATGATAGTAGTATTCCAGTATTTAAGAGGTTGCCATGAAGAGGAGAGAAGCAACCAGTAGAATTAAGGAGAAACTTCCTAACAGTGAGGACAATTAATTAGTGGAATAGCTTGTCATCAGAAGTTGTGGGTGCTTCATCACTAGAAGTTTTTAAGAAGAGACTGGATGGTTAGTTGTCTGAAAATGGTATAGGGTCTCCTGCCTGAGGAGTGGGTTGGACTAGAAAACCTCAAAGGACCCTTCCAGGTCTATTCTGGTTGATTGATTGAAATTCGGAATTCTTTGTCCCTAGATGTTAGCAGAGGTTCATTCAGGCACTACTGACATAAAAAGAGTCTCAGTGAAGAAGTAACTCCATGTTTTGGTGCTTGTTTCATTTATTTAATAAAGTTAACATTAATACACAAGTGTGTAAAATTTCTCTTAGTTCAAAAGACCAATTGTATGAGTACTTTAAAAAGATCAGGGATGATTTGAGCCAGTTCAGCCCAAGCTCTAATATTCTTGGCTTTCTTCTCCACAATGAAGCTTTTACCATGTAGTTCTAGACATGTCTCATTTAAATACATTTCTGAATAACTCCATAGAACATTAAACCTTCAGAAAGGATGCAAAACTTTCCCCCTAGCAATCAATAGAAAGAGGCTTCTAATCTTGAAATTGACAAAATTTGGAAGGCTTGTAAAGCAGTTGTCCTGTCATTTACCTTTTAGTAACTAGGAGGTACATTTGTAATATATTCAAATATTACTTTGTATATAATTCAGAAATTAGTGAATATATTCCACTGCTATATTGTCAGACCCATGTATCTGCCATTTTTCAATGGAAGAAGAAGAGGGGGGAGTTGGTAAAGAAATCCTTTTTTGATGTAACTCAGACATATTAAATTTTATACTGAATTTATATAACCTACACTTGATATACAACTGAGAGACTGAAACCAGATGCCCCAGAAATCTGTCACCTCTGGAAGAGACAGTAATAGAGAAGGGACCATAAAAATTCCAGCCGAGAGTTGTTTCCTGAGAAACCCTTCAGAAGATCGTTCTCAGAAGAGGGGAGGGGGAATTAACATGTTAATTCTTTGTTTTACAAAATACACATCAAGATAAGGGGAGAGGTCTTAAACTCCCTTATCTATCACTGCATGCCTGGGAGACATTAGATGTTGCTTTTGTATCTCTACTTGAATTGTCTCATCTCAATAAAGGATTCCTTTTGAAACACTTAGATTTCAGAAGTTCATTCTTGTCAATTGAAATGGGAAAAGTTTAGTAGCCTGACATATATGAAGCATTTTAAAATATTTTCTTCAGAACCTGTTTGTTTATTGAAAGCCCAAAAGGATTTCTACCCTAGTTGTTTTAGGAAGTATACTTTGTGAGCTCCACATGCATAAACCAATAGAAAGTACCAATAGAAAGTAGAAATCTACCAAAGTAGATTTTCTATAATAAAATAGGTATGGTGGTTTCAGAGTTCTGTCTTGGTGTTTTTTTTCAAAATATATTTTTTTCTGGATTACTACTGGAAGTGTACATTATTATGTATTATATTATATATTAGGGGAAAAGAGTCTCATTTTTTGTTTTAGTTTTTATGTTCTGCCTTAATAAAATGTATTTTTGGTGCTTTTAGCAATATTGTCTTAATGATTTTTTTAAATTCTAATTTTAGTTTAACAGCCATTGGAACTTGTTGCCTACAGATAGGTTAATTTTTAATCTATGCTTAGAGAAATTTGATTTGACTCAGAATATTTAACAATCTCTGAGGTTTTAAATCCTTAAAGTATTAATTTCTTACAGTAAATAAGTAAATCTCTTACCATGGTTTCACTGGGAGACCAAAATTAAATCCATAGTTAGCGTTTTAAGCAGTGTTTTTTCAAACATGGCAGCTTAAGATGTGTGGAATGAATTACCCTGAGGATTTTTGGGCATTGAAGTCCACCTACTGAAAACTGGAATATCATCATTGGTATATAGTAGCAATTTATCTCAAACTCCAGCCAGTATTATACCTAAATATATTTGTGTAATATGGCAGACCATTTGATATATATATATGGTATTCAGCTTTATTTGGGTATTTTCCCACGTCATTATAGTTGTGCTTTGAAAGTTGTATTTTAAAGCACAACTGTAATGACGTGGAAAAATACGGGAACAAAGCTGAATACCATACATGTAAGTACCAGCGAAAACTTAAGAAAACAAATATGTATGTATGTATGTATGTGTGTATATGTATATGTATGTGTGTGTGTGTGTGTGTGTGTATGTGTGTATATGTATGTATGTATGTATGTATGCTACCTAAGTGGGCAGTTTGATTTCACAGAAGTGTGATTGACTTGGAGTTACATTGTGTTTCTTAAGTGTTCCCTTTATTTTTTTGAGCAGTGTATATATATATTGATTGACAGTCAATTTCACATGCTGTTGTGCAAATGGAATAGACAACAGGTGGAAAGCGTAGGCAGTTAGCAAGACGTCCTCAATAAAGGAGTGGTTCTGCAGGTGATGACCACAGACCATTTCTCAGTTCCTATGCTTTCTGGCTGATGGTTTGGTCACTTTTGAATGCTGACGGTGCTTTCACTCTAGTAGTAGCGTGAGACTGAGTCTACAACCCACACAAGTGGCTCAGGTAGTACAGCTTATCCAGGATGGCATATCAATGCGAGCTGTGGCAAGAAGGTTTCCTGTGTCTGTCAGCGTAGTGTCCAGAGCATGCAGGGGCTACCGGGAGACAGGCCAGTACATCAGGAGACGTGGAGAAGGCTGTAGGAGGGCAACAACCCAGCATCAGGACCGCTACCTCCACCTTTGTGAAGGAGGAAGAGGAGGAGCACTGCCAGAGCCCTGCAAAATGACCCCCAGTGGGCCACAAATGTGCATGTGGCTGCTCAAACGGTCAGAAACAGACTCCATGAGGGTGGTATGAGGGCCTGACACCACAGGTGGGGGTTGTACTTACAGCCCAACACTGTGCAGGACATTTGGCATTTACCAGAGAATACCAAGATTGGCAAATTCGCCACTGGCACCTGTGCTCTTCATAGATGAAAGTAGGTTTACACTGAGCACATGTGACAGACATGACAGGGTCTGGAGATGCCATGGAGAATGTTCTGCTGCCTGCAACATCCTCCAGCATGACCGGTTTGGCAGTGGGTCAGTAATGGTGTGGGGTGGCATTTGTTTAGGGGGGGCGCACAGCCCTCCATGTGCTTGCCAGAGGTAGCCTGACTGTCATTAGGTACCAAGATGAGATCCTCAGACCCCTTGTGAGACCATATGTTGGTGCGGTTGGCCCTGGGTTCTTCCTAATGCACGATAATGCTAGACCTCATGTGGCTGGAGTGTGTCAGCAGTTCCTGCAAGACAAAGGCATTGACTGGCCCACCCATTCCCCAGACCTGAATCCAATTGAGCACATCTGGGACATCATGTCTCGCTCCATCCACCAATGCCACGTTGCACCACAGACTGTCCAGGAGTTGGGGGATGCTTTAGCCCAAGTGTGGGAGGAGATCCCTTAGGAGACCATCCGCCACCTCATCAGGAGCATGCCCAGGTGTTGTAGGGAGGTCATACAGGCATGTGGAGGCCACACACACTACTGAGCCTCATTGTGACTTGTTTTAAGGACATTACATCAAAGTTGGATCCGCCTGTAGTGTTCATTTTCCACTTTAATTGTGAGTGTAACTCCAAATCCAGACCTCCATGGCTTGCTAAATTTGATTAGCATTGATAATTTTTGTGTGATTTTGTTGTCAGCACATTCAACTATGTAATGAACAAAGTAAGAATATTTCATTCATTCAGGTCTAGGATGTCTTATTTTTGTGTTCCCTTTATTTTTGTGTTCCCCCTACACACACACATATATATTTTACAGAAAGCTTGTTCCAGAAATTTTCACTGCATTATTAAATATTTTTTCTGCATTCAGTGACACTGTTACAGTGATCTCAATTTTTTGAATATATATTCAGATGGTTCATTAGTAATCAAATATTAGCAGACACTTGATGACTTTATCAGTCCTGCATAATGTGGTTTTATAATCAAAGATAATATCACTTATAATAAAACCCCCAAATGTATTAGTTAAAGCAATTTATAATCTAATCTATTGCAATCAGTATTTTTAATCTGATGAACTTTCATAGTCAGTAGGGTTTTTACCAGTGTTCCTGGTCAAAAGGAACACTCTGGAAAACTCTGTTTAAATAGGCACTATTACATCAGTTAACTGTTTTGATTCTTTCCTCTTTTTTTACATATTTTTAAAGCACAACCTCAATGTTTGCCTCGGCCAAATGTTTTGTCGCTTGATAAGTATAAGGAAGGAACCAGCAAAAAAGAAAATAGCCCCAGAAGTCTGAAAAGTGAAAGCGGATTTTGCAGTGGAGTCAAAGTTGATGCACCAGATAATCGAATATTTTCTGCACCTGTTTCCCAAAAAATACACAGAAAAATTCAGTCCAGCCTGTCGGTCAACAATGAAAGTAGTAAGAAAAGCTCTGCTTATTCTCATAAACCAAGTTCTTTTCCTGAAGGTAAGTTGATAACAAAGTGTTGTTTTTTTAAAAAAAATTGCTAACTTGCAGTATCAGGGGTGGGATTCTACTGGCTCGGACCGGTTCTATAGAACTGGTTGTTATGATTCTGCGCAGTTCAGGGATCCGGCAAATCGTGCCCTCTCTCCATCTGCCCCTCCTTTCTCTGCCCAGTCAGTCCTTATTGCACATGCGTGACATTGCGCACATGCCCGACATTGCTGACTGTGTTCTTCCCTGGACAATCACCCCTTAAGGTATTTCTTTTTTTTTTTCCCCTTCCGATCAGCTATGCCAGGATTCCCCTCGTCTTACTGTTTCACCCAGGAGGCTTTCCTGAGGTCCGGAAGGCTCAAAAAATGAGGGCGGAGGAGGGTGCTGCAAAAAAAGAAGCCATGCCCACCCAGTCACATGGCCATGCCCATCTAGCCACGCCCACAGAATTGGTTGTTAAAAAATTTGAATCCCACCCTTAGACAGTATCATTACAGAGGCAAGATAGAAATGCTTTGTATTTAGGAGACAGGCAAATATTTTAAAATATGTAATAAGAACTTGTTATTTTGTTATTGACAAGGGCTTAGTACATTCCCAAAACTCCACATTCCTGGCCATTGGTATCTATACAGTAAATACTGTAGATGATCCTCTACTGAAAACCATTCATTCAGTGACAGTTCACAGTTACAATGGTGCTGAATAAGTAATTTACAACTGGTCCTTGCACTTACAACTGTTTCAGCCAGCCTCTGGCCTCATGATCAACATTTGGGTGCTTGGCAACTGGCATGTATTTATGGTGGTTGCAGTGTCTCAGAGTCATATGATTGTGATTTTCCTAGCTGGCTTCTAAGAAGCAAAGTTAATGCAGGAAGTTGGATTCACTTAACAACCATATGATTTGCTTAACAGCCTCACCAAAAATGTAGGCAAGACTTACTTAGCAACTTAGCAATGAAAGTTCCAGACATTGTAAGTCACGGATTGCCTGTAAATGCTTATTTATTTTCATACTCTCAATATATAAATAAATTTTATTCTTCATTGGAGCCTGTGGTTAATCTATTGATCCAACTACTGTAAAAAAGAGTAGCAGAAGTTGAAAAAGGAAATGAGAACAAGACAAAATATCATTCTGCCCCTTTCACAATCATCTCTCAAAATTATTATGAATATGCCAGAAACAATTGTTCTGGAAGATTGATCATCTTGGCAGTTTGCTCTACTTCCTCCATTTCAAATGTACATTGCCTAACTTTTAAAAAACTTTTTTTTATTATAGATTACTAGTTTAAGCAGTTTTTTTATTAATTGGCTTGAGCAAAGGATCCACACAATTCTCATTATAATGAGAGGAAAAACTCCAGCCTACAAGGAATATATCTATCTACCTATATCTATATATCTATATCTATATCATATATTTATATCCCTCTCTCTCCCTCTCTTCCTCTTCCTCTCTTTCTCTCTCTCTCACACAGAACCAATTTGGTGTAGTGGTTAAGGTATCAGGCTGTAAAACAGAAGCCATGAATTTTAGTTCTTTAGGCACAAAGCTGGACTGGGAAATTACCCAGTTTAAGTAATTTTGGCTGATCTCTCTCAGCCCTAGGAAGCCGACAATGGCAAACCACTTCTGAAATATAGTCAAGAAAACTACAGGGACTAATCTAGGCAGTTGCTAGGAGCTAACACTGATCTTGGCACAAAATAAATAAAAATCTGTTCTGTATACTATATAATCATATTATATCAATAGATTTAAATTGGCTGCCTAACAATTAGTTGGTTAAATGTTGATATTTGGAATAAGATCTTATGGAGTTGTTTAATATTGTAGTGAGGAAAGGGCTTGTCCTTTGAAATATTAATAAAAACTAATCTAAGAAAAAGTAGAATACATATTATGCAAATTATAAATATAACACAAATGATTTTTAATCATCAATCAACAGTGATAAATCAAGAATGTTTTAAGATATTAAAATACAAAGATAAATATAAGAATACAATTTTATATGCACGATCTATGTAGCATTTGTTTGTTTAGAAATTCATGTTTTCAGTTCTTGATATCTTGTCAAGAGGAGCTCTTGTTTGCTTGTGAAAATTATGTCATTTCACATTTCCTGTCACCTTTCTGATCCTTCAGGTTCTATATGTAGCTTTTATGATATGCCAGTGTCTGAACCTCTTGCTTTCACTCTGCAAATTTGTACTTCTCTCTTTTACATACTTGGGTGCTTCCCACCATTCACTGAAGTAATTTAAATGTCACTTTTCTGCTTCTCTCACAGTATTCTCACAGTCTCACATCAGGTTTGTATCACTGTACCTCCTGCTGCTATAGTGCAATATAGTGCAATATAGTACAATCATGTCTGATTCTAATTGAAAAATATAGTGTATAGTACATTTTCTAAAACAAAAAGTACATGCTGTTGACTTCTGACACTTGTATTGCTTAGGGATGGCAATCCCTGTGTTCCCAATTGTTATTGTTAACTGAATCCCGCTGTTGTTAGGCAAAGCAAGTTCTTGCCGGCTTTCCACAACCAAAGTCAATGGGGAATCTGGCAGGAAGTTGCAAGTTCCAGGTCTCTAGGTAAGTAAGTGACTACTAATTCTAATTCGACTAGACTAGACTGGACTAGAATAGAATAGAATAGAATAGAATAGAATAGAATAGAATAGAATAGAATAGAAT